CCCCATCCCCCTTCCCTCCCCACCCAAAAAGTAAAAGAAAAGACATGGCTCTAACAATAGGAATTTGGGAATGCAGTCTCTCTAGTCACAGAAACCATACTCAAAGCAATTGTGGTATACTGAGTTGGCCACACTAAGAACATAAGACATTATGGAATAAATATCAAAGCAGTTATCCAGCAAAGACAGGCAAAATTTATAAAGGAAAAAAAGGCTTAAAATCTGAACTAGAAAAAATATGAAGTAGCAAAACACTAGAAAAAGCTAAACATCCAAAACTAGAGCTATAATTAATTAAATTGATGAATAGCTATGTTATAGAATACCTACACAGTCAATAAAATATATGCAAATGTTTAGCCCACCACAGGAAAATACTTAAATTATTAAGACAGAAGACTCAATGGTACTCACACATATCCCCTTTCCCCTCCAATACGTAGGGGAAAAAAAAGAGAAAAAGACACTAAATGGAAACTATTGAAATGTGTGTTGAAATTATTGGTGATTTTTAGCTTTCATCTTCACAATTTCCAAATTTTCTACAATAAACATGCAGTGCACTTATAATCACAAAAATCTATTAAACTCATACAAGTCTATACTAAACCTTTATTAAAAATGCTCATGAAATACTTGCAAAAATATCTATTGTCTAAACTGGCCTGGGTGGTCACTTAGCTCACAATGTGGTGTTATAACACCAAGGTCAAGGGTTCAGATCCCTGTACAGGCCAGCTGCCAAAAAAAATAAAATAAAATAAAATAATGGCCAGACTTAGACCTTACATTTTTTTCCTGGATAAAATAAACCAGGATAACATTCTGGTTCCTTTACCAATTCAGAAGGCCTTTTCCCAGATTGCAGGGATCTAGAGCTTGAAGAATTATATACAAAACTGGACGGCAATGAAAGGGACAGAAAAATAGGGCAAGTTGTACCACGACTTCTGTTCTTAAAAGGTGTAACTACTGTCTCATGAGCCATTCCCTGCCCAATGGATTTCAACATCATCACACTATACAACTCCAGGAAGCACCAACCACATGGTATCCTATGTGAAGAACATGCCTGGATTGCCATAAAGCCAAGAATAACTACTAAGTTATGCAACACAGAACTTTGCCTATTGTATAAAAAGAAGGCACTGGGCTAGGTTCTTGGCCTTTATAAAGATGTTGCCCACCTTCAACAATTCTACATTCTTGACAAGTTACTCCAGGCAGGTTGACAGTTTTTCAAATGTGGAGCTACATGGTGGTATGGATCTTTCAAACTAAAAAAATACTACAGTAGATTTGATTGGACAGAACCAAATAGAAACATTATCAAACACAGAAATAAAATAAACAATTAGTTAATGTAGTTCAATCTCAACAGAAATAGTATGCTGACTTCATCTGCTATATAAATAACCCATTACACACAATCTTCCTGCACTGTGTTTACATTTGCACCGTGCTCAAAAGCAATGGTGAGTAAAACTGCTAGTGCCCTAACACATACGGAGGCAGAGGACAAAACAGCACATATTTCAAATGTACAATTGGATTTGTGTGTTTGTGTGTGTATGTATATGTCTATGAAACCATTACCATAATCAAGATGATAAACATCTCCATCGCCCCAACAATTTCATCCAGGGACTAACTGAAGAGTGGACATAAGCATTCCAGCTGCAGACTGAAGAATGATGATCGTCTCAAGGAAAAGCACCTGTGATTGAGCTGCAAGCTAAATTAACCACTTTTCTCAAAAGAAAAAAAATGTTTTTACTTATTTCATATATTTTTTCTAGGTTTTTAATTAAGGTAGGAAGGTAAATCAGGTCCCTGCATGAAGTACACACAGTTACTTTTACCTGTCCCAAATTTGCCTTTCTTAAGCCTATATGGTGAAGGTAGTATTTGTCTTTTCCTGGCTCTGTAGACTTTGAGCAAATCCTTTACCAGACAGAAGAATCCTGGCATACTTAGTTAGACTCTCCAGTAGCAGACTGTCCATTCCCTTGATTATTTTGGTTATACTGGCCTGAAGGTGTGGTCACCAGAACAGGACATAGCACTCCCTGTGTGAAGGTAGCCTCATTTACCAAGGTTACACAGGACAGGATGGCAATCTCTATTTTAAGAGGCAGGTGTGATGGTGTAAGCTGAACACTGGAGTCTGAAGACTCAGGTTCAAGTCCTGACTCCTCACTTTATACTCGTGACTTTGGCAAACTCACACAACTCTGAGCCCTACTTGCCCCATCTATAAATAGGCATAATAATGTACCTCACAGGTTGTTAAGAGGAGGAAATGAGATAAATAAGAAAACACTTTGTAATCAGTAAGACACTTTACAGAGATAAAATGATAATGAAGCATATTTCCAACACTCCCAATAGTCCTCAATCTTTCCATCTTCCAAACCTCTAAGCTACAACACATTAAAAACTCTTCAATAAATATTAATTAATAAAAAGAAATGTGTCACTTTTTAAGTACAATTTTAATTATTTCCCCTTAAGCCACACAGCAGGAAATCATTTATAAATGTGGCTCAGCATAATCTCAAAAACTCATCCTCAAACTCCATCTAATTTACAAATTCCTTAACCCATGTGTAAGTACTTGATGACTACTTACGTTCTTGAAATTTGGGCACTGCATGAGTGATAAAAATACATCAATTCTGGGCTGTCTGGTTAGCTCAGTAGTTTAGAGCACAGCCTTATAATACCAAGGTCACAGGTTGGGATCCCTATACTGGCCAGCCGCCATAATTAATTAATTAATTAATAGCAAAAACACATCAATTGTTTGGAAACTAGGCTACATATCAGGCTGAAACAGCCATTTTTAAAACATATGCAAATTCATAAATGATATCTGTTACTTACTTCTGTAACATTGTGGCAAGAAGTGCAATAATATTTGCCTTCATCAGTAAGACCCCAAGAGACAGCAGCACACTGAGTACAGCGTTCTTTAAATTCTATCTGTAAGAGAACAGTATAGAAAAGGTGTTACCATCAAACCACATCCAAAACATTCTACCTAAACCCTGAAGTTTTACTTAGTTCTACTTATAGAATTCCTGGCAATTTTACCATGTAAATAAAAACATCATAGAAAACAGAAAACATATCAGGCAGATTATCTGCAAACAAAGAGAAGAGCAGTTCAGTCCCTTGAGCAGTATGAAACCGAATCAAACTATCAGAGAAAATTTATTAAAATATGCAGTGTGTGGGGGGGGAGAAAAAAGGTTGTAGAGGTAAATTGGAAACAAAGATGAGTAAATAAAACTCCTTGAAAATGCTGTGAGAAAAAAAGATCAGTCCCTTGAGCAGTATGAAACCGAATCAAACTATCAGAGAAAATTTATTAAAATATGCAGGGGGGGGGAGAAAAAAGGTTGTAGAGGTAAATTGGAAACAAAGATGAGTAAATAAAACTCCTTGAAAATGCTGTGAGAAAAAAAGATGGCAACATTCAGGTATGGAGAAGACTTTAAAATAGAAAGACCATTTGGAACTTCCTCAGGACACTAAAAACACACACTAACCACAAAGGAACCAGATTTTTATTTGGGTTGTTTCAAGTTTTGGTTTATTCATTCAACAATATAACGAGTATTAACTATGTGTGTACTAGGTATTTTACTAGGTGCTGGGGATTCAATGGTGAGCAAAACAGACCTGGCCCCTACTCATAGCATATACTGGCTAACGGTGAGTTATAACGATTATTTTCATCCACCCAGCATCTATAGAAGTTAAGCATCCATCATTCAATAAACACTTATTGAGCATCTACTATAAGGCCTTCTATCACCTTCCTCCTTCTGTACATAAACAGACCTAATTCTCTGATTCCTAACTCTTTGGTATTTTACTTGTACGAGATTATCGTTGATCTAGTTACTCAATACTCATTTGATACCATCAAAGAGTAACACATTTTATGCAGTATGTAAAAAAAACGCACGCCGAATTTATTTCGATAACTTGGTTAAGTGTTCAGTGACTCCGTACTGACAACTATAAAGGTAGCCGGACACCTTGGGGTGTCCCCAGCCCCGAGTTTGGAGTCCGTGCCCCAGACCATGGATTCCCAGCCGCTGCCCCTCCTCACCCACCCCGGCACCAAAGGAGACCTGCGGGTGGCCCCCCCCACAAAACCTCCTTCGACACACCCACAACGAC